TTTCACCTCTACTTCCATTCATAGCATTGGTGAAAACTAAATCTCACTTTTGAGTTATAAGTAAATAATGGAAAACTGTTCATTTTCAGGACAAAGAATGGAAGCTTTTACATATATTTTAATACTTTGAAAAGTAGCAGGTTTCATAAAGACACTGAAATATGACAAAAAAATACAAAAAAAAGAAAGAAGTTAGATGGGTGCTCCGAACTAACTTGCCTTCTGCAGACTACTCAGCTACAATTCTGTTTGAGAACAGCTTTGAAAGCAATATGCTTGTACTCTTGTTAGACCAAGGCATTACATTTGGCGGGGAAAAAAAGAAAAAACCTCTTCAAACATCTGAGCCATCTGATTTTAGCGACTTAACAATCTCACCAGCCATTCTGCTGAATGCTGCCTTTACAGTTACTTGATGTCATAACATGTGGATGAAATCTTCAGAAAATATTTAACATAATCTCTGGAGAACTGCATATTTTATACAGGAGAACCTGCAATGCTTCACGTTTTTAAATAAGTGAGTAGTGGCTATATGTTTAATGACAGAGGAAACAGTCATCTGTGGCTTGGAGGGAGAATGGTCATTCTGCAGAATCCCCAGGACTTGCAGGCCAACTTCATTAGATCAGATATAGCAGTTACCCTATAGACTGCAAAAAACAGCCATGCCATGACTGTTACTGGTTTCTGCACGGGTGGATGGAAAGGACAGTATGTATGTTCATACGTATGTGTATATACATATAAATAACACACACATATTTATATCTATATCTCCTTCCTTCAATAAACCAGCCCATGCAACTAGCTACTGTGGAGAAGGAGGTTTCTGTCAGTTTTTTTTTTTTTTTTAATCAGCAAACATTTCCCAATCTGAGCAAGAGGGTAATGATGACAGGAAAATTGTAGTCCCACACAAACCTGCTTGTGTCTGCGGATTATGAAATCAATCTGTTCCTTATATACGAAGATGTCAAACCCCTGCATGAAGCAGAAGCTCTGAAGCTCTGCAGCCTCCCCAGGGTCTGGGGCCTGTGTTCAAGGCCACACCACAAGGCCCCAATATCACAGACTCATGGTTGAGACAGAATGGTTGAGTTTGGAAGGGACCTCTGGAGATCATCTAGTCCAACCTCCCAATATGTGCAACTTCTTCAGCCTTCTCCTTCCCACTCATTAATATATATGAAGAATCATTTTCATATTTTAGAAGAACACTACTCAAAGCTATTATTTTCATATTTGTTTTCTTCCAGTTCTCAGGAACCTCTCTTGATCACCATGATCTTTCAAAGATAATTAAGTGTGGCCTTGTGATGACATCAATCACCTCCCCCAGCAGTCACAGTGACTCTCATCAGGTCCAACAGACTGCCTATGTTCCAGATTGTTTAAATGCTCCCTAATATGATTCTCCAGCCAGCACAATAATCATATTTTACTAAAGTAATGGTTCAATGCACTACAGCCAACCATCATCACTTCATCTAACGCCACATAGGTAAAAGCTATGCAAAAAGAAATGTGGGTTTTTTTCATTAACAGTTGAATATATATGCATGAATGTTCTCATAAATGTTCTTGAAATGTTTTATAGCTATCTGCCATGAGGATGAAGTCAATGGTTCTCAGGGAACGATGAGGCAGTGCTAATGGAGGAAAAATGGAGAATAACATTTCTCTTCACATGCAAGTTCCCGCTGAAGCTAACAGAAGCGCTGACACTAAGTGCTCTCTCTCATCTATAAAATTATATTTAGTCAAGGTACACTTTGTTAAGCAATTAGATGAAGGAGAGACTTAGATAAGGTAAGTCTACCAAGCTGTTTCAGGCTCTAACTGAAATATGCAAAAAATAAGGGTCAAGGCCTGGGGAGATACCCTGCATCGTGTCTTCGCTCCTATTCCTGTCCTGATGTTTCAAAATGAGAGCTGTGCTGAGTTTCTCCCAGGGAAAAATAGTTAAAAAAAAAAAAAAAGAATGAAGGAAGCAATCAATTCACTTATAATAGGAGAAGTGGATCATAACGCGCAGTTTGATGTTTCTGTTGGGGAATCTTTTAAGGTAATGATAGGAAGCTGCTGTATTCATCCCTGCTCTACAGACCCCCTGGCAGTGAATCTGCTGTCACTGTAGGTATATGCAAAGATAGATAGATCTGTGTTTCCATATATCTTTCTTATACCTAACTTTCTTTTGCATCTGTGACCATCAATCCACATGTGTCTTTCTAAATCTGCCTTGTCTGTATTGCATACATTCCTCTCAAAAAACAAAACAAAAATATAAATAAAAACAAGCAAAACATCAAAAAGCTCCCCAAGATAACCTTTCACATAGACTGTGACTTTCTCCTACATAATAAATGACATTGAGCATAACAAATATTTAATGGGCTTACATCACCACAATAATGTAAATGAAAAAAATGTTGAAGTAATAGATTACTTCCTCCATCTAACACCAATGTACAAATTAATGTGTTATCTATTTAATGTAATGTATTTGTATTCTACTATATCTAATTAATGTATAATTTAAGTCTAATACCTTAATTTAAGCCTGTAAAGAAAAAATGTTTGAGAAAAGGGACTGGCATAAATGCTATTTCAACATGGTTGCAGTCAGACATCCATCTTTGTTCCACTGTTAAAGAGAAGGGAGTATTAATGCACCTACGAGTCACACAAAGCATTGCTGAAGATTATAAAAGATGCTAGAGTGCCTACAACAGCACGAACATAGGATACAACAGGATGCATGTAATAGAAAAATAATCTAATAGTTCAGACATACTTTCCACCTACAGGGTCACTCACAGAACGATCCCTTAATACTATGGTGGTTACCATGGTGATAAGGAGAGCCTAAGAGCCTATTAGTACAGAAGTGATATGCCATCCCATTACTCAAGGAAGTGGGATATCATCAGATAAATACATTAGTTCAAGAACCCCATGATTGAAGACATTCTCTATAGCTCAGAGGTACCTAAAGATTGACCTAGAGAGACGATCAGCAGATATATTGCAGCTAATAATTCAAACAGTTTCATTTTACATTTGATTTTTGGTAAGTCCAAATCCTTCACAAACATCATCACTATGGAGAAAACCATCCTTTTGCAGCAGACATACCTAAGACCAATCTAATGAAGTAATTGTTTACAATATAATAAGACCATTTTCAAGACGTAAATATGAAAAGCATCTATTCAACTATATGCCACTTGATTTTCACATCTGTGTGTGTCTGGTCTCAGGAATGTAAGAAAACAAGAAAGATGGACGAACGTGCACAAAGACTTAATCAAAGCCTTACTGATTTAAGCTATAAGCAGGAAGTGGGAAGGAAAAGAGGCACAGAAAAAAATACACATCAGACTGCTCCACATTACTCTGTGTGTGTGTAAAATTTAAGAGTTGGGAAGCTACCCAGTTAGAATATACCAAGGAATTGTACTTTACTGGCTAAACACAAGCCACTGGCTAAATGACATGTAACCCTAAGCTTATCTGCAACATTCTTGAAGGAAGCGGGCAGTTGCATAGCAGTCTCCAATTGTCTCCAATTTCTTTCAATGGAAAATCATTGTGCAGGAATAGTTTTTATGACCCTATCTCTGAAAACCTATTTCAGTGCCTTGTAAATGTGATAGATGTTTTTGTGAAATATACTTCTCCATCATTATATTCAGGTCTTCATGATGTGCCCTTAAGGCTATCTCCTGGGTCCACTCAGCTGAGCATAGCTAAAATAGCAAGAAGTATCCAAACCCACACTATGTGCCTCATACATCTTTTTTGGGGAGGAAACGGGAAGGAAATTTTAAGATTCTGGGTAACGATAACCATCATTTGACTGTAGTTAGATGAGGATTGTATTAGAGAGACTGCTTTACTAGCACTTGAAAACCATATAATGCTGATAAATGGCAACCTTAAACATAGTACTAATAGAACTCACAAGCATTGAAACAGAACCCTTTGAAATAGATGAAATATGAAATGAGTATTTTCAATATTATTTTTTCTGCATTACCTCACTGTACTTATTTCATTGGCCTCTAGAAAATAATTCAAACAGGACACAAGTGCTATGAAGTATTTTTTCTTCAAAACTAGAAAAAGGCAGCTTCTCTGCCAGAGTTAGCAATTGTGCTTTAAATTATTTTTCTGCACCCTCAGAGATACCAGAATTCTATGAACAGAACAGAAAGAATCCCAAATTTTTCTTTAACGAGTTGTGGGTAAGACAGAAAGCAGTGCACACAATTAGGCTGCATCTAGCGGCCACAGGATTCTGCCACTGGTAACAATATCACTTATGAAGAACAGCAGTAGTCGAGGCAGTACGCCTATCAAAAAAAAAAAAAAAAAAAAAGGGCTTTCCATTTGGTGGTGCATATCAAACATATAAATTCATTGTATGGATGGCTTAAATTCATTAAAATATACCCCTACTTAGGGTTCTTGCTGTAATTCAGTAATGGGATGCTTTGACAGGTGGAACAGATGCTGGTTGAAATAATCAAGTCGTACTCATTGACCTTAGCTTTAATGGCAAAATCATAATTGACAGAGATCATGGATTCCCCAGAATACACCTCATTGTGCAATTGCATTTTCAGTGACTTTAACCCCAAGATTGTCTTATTTAGTAATTGATCTGCTAATTTTAAAGCTGGACAGTTAAAAAAAAAACTCACTGGTATATATTCTTTACATAAGACACAGAAAATAATCAAAATTAATAAGTAAATGTTTAACTTTTCAGAAAACACTGTCCACTTCTACTACAAAATATGCACCTAGCTACACACTCTATATCAGAATAACTTCACAGATTTTGAGTTATTTCTCATATATGGAAAAACCAACTATAGGAGAAAGTTGTCTATGGTTATCTTTTATTGCTTGTAAATCATTCAGAATTTTTCAAGGAAATAGGTGACCACATTTTGGCACCACGGGACAGTTTTTCAGAGTTCAGTTACCTGGATAATACCTGGCGAGGCCAGTGGCACTGCCAAAAACCTGCCACAGTAAAGTAGGGTCTTCTTCTCTGTTCCGCTTGAAAACATCATCCAGCGCTGCCGTCCAGTTGAGTTCATTTAGTACGATTGTCGCTGTTGAAAAAAAAAAAAAAAAAAAGTTTGGTATTACTCAGTTACATCTTTAGACAAGTAGCAATGACTATAAAGAGAAAAGAGAAGAAAGTTAAAACATTTTGTTTGATGTATCAGGATATTTAAGGAAATACACCTTTCTTTTTTGGCAAATTCAAGTTCCTTACATTGTCCTCTTCTCGATGGATTAACAATAGGCCATAACTGTTTATTTGCATATTCAATATCTGCTATAAGTATTTTTTCTGAGATGTAAATTGAGTTGTACTTCCCAGCCATAGAAAAGAAAATGAAAATATATAAAGGTTGTATTTATTAATCACATCACACTGCAAGAAGAAAGACTAGAATGAACAGAAGTAGATGAATCGTTCAGAAAAACTATCAGAGTTTTCTCATTCAGGATAGATGTTGTAAGGGAATTCTGTGGGGGGAAAAAAAGCAACAATGAGTATCAGAAGGATAAAATTAGGATGGGACCAGCTTGCACAGCAGGACCTATCTAGCACTACATGTTGACAAGATCATCATGTTTGTAGCTGTGATCACTCACAGACTGACCAGCAGAGTGACCATTAATATTTATGAACTGGCTCAGTTTCCCAAGGAGATAAAATACAGGAACATCCATATTCTTAAGCATCACCAGGTAAACACTAAGTAGCCAGTCACACAGAAATTCTTATTCACAGCCTGTGTGAACCGTGCAAATATACATTTTAATATGTTCTATGTTGAAACATGTTTGTGAAAAAGAGATGTTGCTCACCAGCCAATGAACACTGCTACAGTAATAAGCAATTGGGTAATGAAATTTTGTTATGGTACAGATAACCATTCTTTCCCTCATGATCTAATCAGCTGTTAAGATCTCATTAACTTTGAAAAAAAAGTCTTATTCATGTCAGGCAACAGCTGGCATTCAGTTAATTAGAAAGAGGAAGAATTTTTTTCTTTTCTTGGTTGGGTCACTAATCCTCTCCTTTGTGTTGCCAAATGGCATTATAAGTAACATTTCTGAAACATCTAGATGAATAGTGATACAGCAGCCACTTACAGTAGAATGAGAAGTAGATGAGGTTAAATAAATAAATAAATAAAATAAAAAAATAAAACCAGTAGAAGACGTAGACATAGATCCTAAGAAAAGCAATACTGTAATTCAGGTTCTGCTTACACTTTAATATTGCACGCAAGAATTTTCATTTCTCTTGCAAATAGGCAAGTCAAGGTGAAATAAAAACAGTTCAAGCTTAAGACAGATCAGTGGCATCAGGGTACAAAATTTTGTATTTAGGTCTTCTTTCTAACCCTTTGCCACTGTGATGAAAAATAGAAATAATAAAAGTAAGGACAGGCTAAAAGTTAACTTGTGACAGACAATTTCCAAAGTACGTTTGTTACAGGTACTAGAGAAATGAGATGATAACATTAAATTTTATAGGTTTGTTTTTAAAGGGTAAAGAGAAATTGCTACACCATGTGTTTTGGGGAAAGGTTTATCTGTTTTGAAAAGAAGTTTGAAGAGAATACTACTCTCTCAAGATACAGCTTTACATAGAAATATCACATTCAATTTCCAACTCTTGAGATTTCCTGTAGTCAATAATCTTGTACTATATACTTCTCCCTTTGCCAATTAGGCAATTATAAAAATATATATATTTACTTAAGAAAGAGAGAAAACTCCCTTGGGTATCATAAGAACTTAATTATCATTTTAAAGTGGTTACTGATCTATTATGTCTTTTAGAACCATTTTGATCTACTGTGTAATTAAGCATTACGCATCATCTCTCTAAATTCTTCCAAATTGAACTTCCTCTCAGATCTTACTTCCTGAAATGATTCCATGGCGTTATTAGAGATTTTGTCACTTACTGAAATAATAATTTCATTGGCCCAATGCAAGTGCAAGCCTAATTTCTAATTCAATGTAGACTTTGGAGCTTAGGAGACCCAAGGCACTGGACGGAGAGACAACAGTTCTCAAAAATGTTTCCATTGACAAAATATTTGGGTTTCAGGGTCCTCCATGGATTCCCAAGCCAAATCAAAATGTAAACTAGGCCATAGTATGTCCTTGAGACTTGACTTAGATGCAGTCTTAGATGACTCTCCTCCAATTTTAAAAATACCGTTGTCCATAACGTGGGATAGAAAAAGTCACAGAACCGAAACTTGGAGGATGGAAATCCCTCGCCCTCAAAATGACTTTACTGTGCTGCTCAGACCAATAATATCCCTATTTACCGAAACATATTTTAAGTTAGTGGTGCTCATAATTGCTTTTCTAAATCTCTGGCTATACATTCCCTGAAACTCTCTCCTTTGATATGAAAAGGAATAAAATACTTCCAGAGAGAGTATTTCCTTCAGACAAGAAGTCTTGCAAAATGAATAAACTATATTCAACATTTAGATATATGTAATATATATCTATACATTTACAGATACTGTTGCAAAGGGTGTCATTGTAATATAGTCCAAATACATACATATCTCACACACATACATATATAAAAACAAGGAACTAAGAAGATCATTTCATCACTTTGTTAGACTAGTTGAGACAGAAATATGGCTCTCTAGATGCTGTTTGTAATATCTGTGAAGCAGTTATGCCCCAGCGTCAAGATTTTTATTTTCTTATCTATGTCCCAGTTTCAAACCTCCCTTCTATGCCTCCTCTCCCCAAACTTCTACCAAATTTTTCTTTAGACTTTTTAAAAAAGATAAACACTCTTTAAAAAAAAAAACAAAAACAAAGAAAAAGAGCTGCAGCTGGGAAGAAATATTTTATCAAGTCTGAATGACTGAAAATAACAATGAGCAATTCAAAATAAGGAACAAGAGCAGAATGTCCACACATAGGTAATATGAATAAAATGTGGGATAAAAAGATAGTAACAGTATGTAACATATCTGTACCCAAACACTGAAAAACAAGTCTTTCACTTGCGAAATTAATAGTTAAGTGCCTCAGTCCCATTTCAGAAATAAATTTTGACATCGTAATTGTCAGTTCCAACACACATCAGTTTCCTCTTAATTAAATTTCTCATCTTGACAATAGTAATTTGTTCCATATTTGGAACAAGTACACAGTTTATCTGATGTGAATCCTATGTAGATATTCACCATATGATCATTAACACATTATTTCCGGAGCACTTTTCTTTTTACAGTTGAAGCTTGCTCACTTTTCTGTTAGTTTGTTTCTATTTTTTGCCATTAACTATTGGCACACAGAGGGTATCCAATTTGTGTTGACTAACCTAGTATCAGTCAATGAGGTAAGGGTTGATAGGAATGCTAGCATTATTAATTTATTTCCTCATGTCTTTATCTGCAACATTTATTGCTGTTTTTGCTGTTGCAAAAGAATACCCTCTGGACTTCAAAAGGCAAGCAAAAATCAGCTCCTCTGCCTTTCTGAATGTGGTTTTCTGATAATAGGCAATTTCAAACCAATACTTGTTGATTCTGTTTTAAAGCCTACAGAGGTAGATTTTAAACTTGCCATCCCAAAGTAAGTAAATACATCACAAACAGCAATAAAACTATTTTTAAATAGTTCCTCCTATGATCTTGTGATTCTTAATATGCACATTAAAATCAATGCAGTGCCACTTTGATTAGCTCACAGTAGAAAGCACAGCACCTCTTAGAACACCTTAATTTGAAGATACGAATTTCTATTCACTTTACATGGTAAGTGAGGATTTCATCTGTTTTTCTTTTATTCAGAAATTCAATCTTACTAAAACAGAAATATTTATGGGCATACTTATTGAGATGTGTATGTTCTAGAAACTCTTCTCTTTCCTTTTGAATTAACCTCTGCACACGAAAAGAGTTTTTGACTGATAATTGGCAGAAAATCTAGTTTGAGACAACTCTCCAATAAGCTTATTTCCAATTCTGCTAAAAGAAGACTTTGAAGATTGCTTCTTCAAAGTACTTCAACTGCTCTCTTTCACTTGACGTGGGTAAGATGAAAAAAAGGAAATTCATCATGGCACAAAAGGCAACATATTTTTTCTGGCTAATCCCACTGAACTCCATCCATCTTTTTCTTTTCTTCTGTTCTTTATGACATGAGATTCAGGGGCCCTGACAAGCAACAGATTCAATTTTTCCCTGCAAATGCAATCAATAAAATAGGGAGAGCACTATTGCTCTCTCTTTAGAAGAAATGGAAGAAAACACTTCTGATGATTTATTCAATGTAGAGGCTCTGGCCTGCATATAAGGCAAAGTGTAACTTCATTTGAAAATCCTGGGAGCTATTTACTATGGCTGGAAATATGTCAGCCACCGTTCCCTGGTGAAGCAGCTATCTGCACAACAGGGAGAGCAGAGGGACCTGCCTCTGTGCTTCATTTATTGTCTTTTACTCCGTGGAAAGTGTTACAGCTCCATATCCTGTTTAACTGAATTCTTTAAAGATAACAGTGCCATACCTATTGTTAGGAATGAAATATATATTGGCAATCAAATATTAGCATATTTATTTATTTATTTTAATATGTATGCATTGACAGGTTTCTGTCTTTATTCATAATTTCTCAATATTATAGATACTCTACTGAGGTATATTATAGATACTTTAACGAAAATGCAAAGTAGCCTTTACAACTTGCAAGTTTTACTCAATTTTTCAAGAATAATTTATTTCCAGCTTATGTTAAATTAAATACAGTGTAACAAACTCAACCACCACTGGAAAACCATACTCATGTTGAATTGAGAGGCACGGTCTCCCATAGATTTCAAAAACCAAAGTATATTTTAATTATGTTTGCACTGGCTCGTATAGATACATCTTCTAGGTAATTCCCAAGTATAACCGTTTTGGAGAACAACTCTGTTTGTTAGCACCTTGAATTTCAACCCTTCAAATCTGGATGCATGGTTTAAGTCATGCAGTTTATGCAAAGTTCAGCATGAGCAAAAGGCCAGAGCCACTGAAAGATTCAAGTGCCTCCAAATTAAATACTATCTCCTAGGTAACTGTTCCCCTGAGTGGAACTGGAAGTCAGAATTTAGACACTTAGGCTACCCGCAGAATACCACAAGAAACGATTCAGCTCAAAACCATTATCCAAAATCCTTCACATATAATCAAAAATCAGTTAGGAGAGAGTAATAGAAAACCTCGGGACTTGGGGAGTATTTTTTCTCACCTTTCTCTAGAGTTTAAGCCACTTAATCAGGGCTGCAAAGGATGCAGTCACTGCCACCCCCTTAGCCAAGCAGAGTGCACAGCCCCCCCAGAAAGAGGACATACAATAGCCCAAAATGGAGATCCAAGTAGTACTCTTGTTTACAGGTTTTTACTTGTTTACAGTTGTTTATACAACTAATTATCAGATTAAGAAATCTTAACATAATTGGATAGGATAAGGCCAAAGGAGGAGAGTTGCTGGTTGCAGCATCACACTAACTCATATGTTCCGCTGTTGCTCTTGTTTTCCTCCCAAGCCTCATGAATCTTGCATTTTTGCTTCACAGTGGCATAGTACTGTAGTTGAATACAGAATCCAGAAGTCTGCACCTTGAGACTCAAAAGTCTCCAGATTTCCTTCATTTATTATTATTTATTATTATTTTTGTTAAGGAAACCTTAACATCTCTACAGACTTAACCTCATGCAGCACTGTCCATTAACACAGGAAAGTTCACAAGGGCCAAAGTACTATCCAAGAAATACCCTGCTACTAACCATTTTTTAAATATGTACACAGAATATTATTTTTGGATACACCCCATTTTTTCACACTAAGAACCTGACAATTTTATAGATAATAACAATAAATAATGAAAGCTCATTAACAAATTATGCTGTTTCATTTCTTTAGAGAAAGGGACAGAACAAGAGGATTATGATGACATATTTTTAATGTTAATTTTCCCTTCATATTTAATTATTGGAGGTTAATAGATTAAAAAGTGCTTCCATAAACCCAAAACAAACACCTACTTATATGGTGAAAAAGAACAGTTATAAAGAAAATAATTTTTGCCACATCCGCTGCCTAAGTGAATTTCTTCTGACCTACCATGGGTAGATTCTCAATTTTTTTGGTTACATACATTTGTGATTGATAGACACGCATGTGGATCATATGAATGTTTTAAATGTATTTTGTGCATATATTCCAGAATGCCTAATTCATCAGATTAGTTATGTTGTAATAACATGTGTTTAGTTTTGGAAGCACCTATCAGCTGATTTGAAAATATTCTTAATGTGTGCAGGATAACTATATTAGAATTCATTATGCACTTTGCAAAGTAAAGAATTAGGAAAGGAGAAACAATACAAATTGAAGAGGCCTTGTCTATTATCAAAGACAATATTATAAGTTATCCTATAATCATATATCAGGCACCAAATCTTGCTTTGAAATTAACATTTGTGTATTCTACTATGATTAAATTTAACATTCCCAGACATTTAGAATTTTTCAGGTAGTACTCAGTCAATGCTATGTAAGAAACAGAATGTATATATGTATATACATGCATATATTATATCGTATGTATGCACTTTATATATATACATGCATATATATTATATAGAGAGAATTCTGTTTCTAACATACACAACAGCAATCAAAACATCTGCTGGAAAACAAGCAGATTGTTTACAATAGTAATTAAGAGTATAAATGATAGTGCCCTGTACTTTCCCTTTTTTCTTTAAATTAATAAATTCTCTATTCCCCATTAGATATCTGACATTATGTTCCAGACACGTCTATAAACATGTCTCTGAAGAAGTCACTGAAGTCTAGCTTTCTGTTGTGTCTATGTCGAATCAAGTAAATTGGCAATGCCATGTGATG